GGCCCCCTGGAGCAGGAATCAGCTTCGGGGCGGAGCTGCGGCCCACGCGGTCCCTACCGCAGGCGGCTGTCCCCCCAGCCCCACTGAGCAGGCTGCAGGCTGCACGCGCGCACAGAAGGCAGGCGTGCGGTCCCCGTGAGATCCGTACTCGCAGCTGAAGAAGGCCCTCGAGTAAGGTATGTCCTCAGCCTCTACTTCCAACACATTTTACAATGAAATGCACATGTGCGTCCCACATCTCTGTGTTCGCGGTACACTTACCAAAAAACAAGAACCCACTATAAATGTTCACTTTCAGAGACCGTGTTGATAAAAACGACCAGCAGTAGCTTGTGTGTCATGTGACACCGGAGAACGTGTATCCTTGCGGCAGGACAATAGTGGGGAGGCTCAGCATCCAAAGGAGGAAGTGAGGCTCTGGTCACTTCTCATCCCCTTTGCTCCATCCCACGTGAGCCTATGCAGCAGTGCCGCGGAGGCCGTGAAGGCCCTCCGTGAACTCCCTCCCCGAGCTCCCCAAGCTGCCTGAGCTCCCCCAACACTGCAGCCAGGCTCAAGCTGCCTGGCTCTGCCAATTCTCTCAGGGACCCGGCCTCAGCACACCTGCAGCGATGAGGTGCTGCTGCTGTGTGTCTGTGCATCGAAGCCTTCAGCTTCGAAACTTCACTGTCACCCACGATGCTTCTTCCTTATCACCAAACCAGAAGGTGTCTTTTTTTCTCTTCTTTGCATCATGTTTTTCTTTAAAAAAATAAAAAAAATGATCTTATGGGAGAGGGAAGACAACAAATAGCATTCTGTCTCTACCTGGACACACACAGCTTCACTGTCTTCACCAGCCCTTGGTATTCTTTTTTTAAAGATTTTATTTATTTATTTATTTATTTGACAGAGAAAGACACAATGAGAGAGGAAACACAAGCAAGGGGAGTGGGAGAGGGAGAAGCAGACTCCCCGCAGAGCAGGAAGCCTGACGTGGGGCTCAATCCCAGGACCCTGAGATCATTACCTGAGCGGAAGGCAGACGCTTAACGACTGAGCCACCCAGGCACCCCCAGCCCTTGGTCTTAAACTCTCAACTCATGGCCAGCGTCCCCTGAGAAGAGGGGGCTCAGTCACATGGGCATTAGTCGAGCTTTGCAAGGATCTGGGGGTACAGACATGGCAGCCCCCCAGCAGCAAAGCTTGGACACTGGACAGCTGAACCTGCCAAAAAGGGGACAGTGGGGGTGGGGGGGAATGGTGCCTCCCCAAAAGCTGTGTCCATGCAGACCCTGTAACTGTCACCTTCCTTTGAAAGAGTCTTTGCAGATGCAATCATGACTCCTGAGATGAGATCATCCTGGATGGTCAAGGGGGGACCAAGTCCAGCAATAAACATCACGGTGAGAGACACAGTGGTGAGACACGTGGAGAACAGAAAGCCATATGAAGACAGGCTGAGATCAGAGGGAGGTGGCCCCACAGAACACCTGATGCCAGCAGAACCTAGAGGAGGCAGACAGACCCTCCCGAGCCTCCAGAGAGTGTGTGGCCGTGCCAACACCTTCATTTCTGGTCTCCGGAACCATCAGCCAAATTTCCATTGGTTCAAGCTGGCCAGTTTGTGGCGCTTTGCAGAGGCAGCCACAAAGCTCCCTGGGGCAGCAGGTGCCGTGGAGCGGGGAGGTGCGCTGACAGCCCTTCCCACTCCAAGGACCCTCCCTCACGGCCTGCTCCCATCCCTGGAGAATCCTCAGCTCTCCCTGGACCTCTGCAGAGGGACTGATGAAAATTCTGACATTAAGACAGAAATTAGGTCTTGGACACGTCTGTTTCACAAGCTTACCACGTTTCATCGCGTTTTGTTTTATCATGCATCACAGATTTTGTGTTTTTACAAAGGGAAGGTGGGGACGACCCTCTGTCCAGCACGTCTACCGGCCCCATTTTTCCAAAAGCATTTGTTCACTTTGTGTTCCTGTGTCACATTTTGGTCATTCTCACAGTACTTGAAACAACTTTTTTATTATTCTGGGGGACTGGAGATCAGTGATTATGACTTGCTGGAAGCTCAGATGATGGTCAGCATTTTTCAGCAATAAAGGATCTTTTCATGGTCCGTACATTGTTTTTTTTAGACAGAATGCTACTGTACACTTAACAAACTACAGTATAGTGCAAACATAATTTATATGCACCGGGAAACCAAGAAACTTCCTTGGCTCTCTTTGCTGCAGCAGTCTGGAACCCAACCCACCATATCCGAGGTGCGCCTGTGCCCCTCAAAAAGATGAAGGACATTCTATCTCTGCATAAAAGTGGGCTTAAGGTTTTTTGTGTTTTGTTTTCTTAACCACAGAGACAGCACAGGTGACCAGAATGGGGATTTGAAGCCCCGGTCCCACACATGAACCAGGGCCAGCCTCGTGCTGGTACAGAGATTCAGGCACGTACCATCACAGATGACTGGGCTTTTGGGTTGGTTGGCTGATCTGTTCTGGGAAGCAGTGGGGAGAAGAGCTTAAAATCGAAGAAGGACCTGGCAATTCGAGGGGCAGGGGGCAGGTGGTCCATGGGTAGGCATGACAGAAAAGGCAATCACAAAATGGTCAATCCTGCATCTGGAGGAGCCCACTGGTTATGGTCTGAACTGACCGGAAGCCCTGGGGAGCGGCCTAAGGCCACGGGAGAGTGAGTTCAGGTGCGTGCCTCCTGAGTCTGAGGTGGGGTCTTGGACCTTCCGGTGGAGAAGTCCAGGGGACAGTGCGCAGGAGATCCAGGTCACGCCTCCATGGCGAGACTACAGGACAGCCGCCTGCAGAGCCCCCAAGGCTCCTCTGACCTCACGAGAGCGACAGATGGGGGTTCTCGGGGAGGGACGGCCCAGCAGCTGGCAGAAGATGTGAGCGCGCCCGGCTCTCACGAGGACCACAGCGCCCGCCCAGCCACGAACCCAGGGACACAGCAAGGCGACGTTGCAGCATCCCGAGCTGCGATGCCGACGCACTCGGGATCCGCTGCAGTGCTCGTGGTGTCACACACAGGCGAGAGTTAAAGGTTCCCAGGCAGCCCGGCCACACACCCAAGAGGGAAAGATGATCCCAGAAAGAAGACTGGTGAACAACCCAGTGAGCTGCCCCCGCGGGGCCTGGGGAAGCAGCCCCACCACCTGTGGGGCGGTACACTCCCCTGCCCCTCCTCCAGACAACACCCCCCCACACCCCAGCTGATGAAGACACATTCGGCCCAAGGTTCAGACATCAGCATTAAAGGGCCCAAGGCCACAATGCTTCCCAGGCCCGGTATGTGAAGAGCGCCCCACCACCAGTTATGTCCTGTGAGCCTCAGAGCCAGGGGCGGGAACTCCGAGGCCTCTGGCCACACCAGGCAGCACTGCAGAGGGGATGGGAACACAGCTCTCACGGAGGCCGGGACAAGACCACCAGCACCCAGGAGTCATGGTGCCGTGTTCTGACATGGACATGGACAGCCCGGGGCATCTGCCTACTAATGTCCCAGCGGCAGGGGAGTGCTGTGGCTCACCCGCTCGGCAGGTGGCCTGAGTCGCAGCTCTGCCACTCGGCCTCCCGGTGCCCTAGTCCCTGCTCTGAAATCCGCAGCTCAGGGACCATGGTGAGGGTGACTGAGGGACTCATGGGGACAGGGTTTGGGAAGCGCTCATGAGCCATGCCCCCCGGCCCTCATGTGGCAGCTGTTAGTCAAGGGTGGCCGCAGGCCGGAAAACCAATGCAGGAGGGGGCTGGTGGCTCCGGGACCTCCCGGCCTGGGAGCACCCCTTATCTAAAAGACCTGTCCCCAGGGTGGGGCTGCCTTCCTGGTGTAGTTTCGGAGAACCAAACTGCTAACAATGCAGTAGCAGCTTCCTAAGGAGTCTGGCCCCTGACTCTGGGCAAGACTGCCTTGGGGAGGGATGCCTGGGCTTAGTCGTTAAGCGTCTGCCTTCAGCTCAGGTCATGATCCCAGGGTCCTGGGACTGAGCCCTACATCGGGCTCCCTGCTCCGCAGAAAGCCTGCTTCTCCCTCTCCCACTCCCCCTGCTCGTGTTCCCTCTCCTGCTGTGTCTCTCTCTGTCAAATAAATAAAATCTTTAAAAAAGAAAAAAAAAAAAAAAAAGACTGCCCTGGGGAGCAATGACATGCCCAAGTGCTCCCAATTCCAGAAGTGAGTCAGTCAGTGAAGGATGGTGAAAGGTGGGCTCTGACACCCCCACCCCCGACTACCCCACTCACAGGACACAGCCCACTGGAGCCCACACCACGCTACACCCTTATACTGCACACAGGTGGGTCGGGGGGCGGTCAGAGTCCTCAGTGCAGTGGTTGTCGGATCCAGACAAGGCCAGGGTGCAAACTGACAATGCAGGTTCCTGGGCCCCAGCCTAGAGCCTCGATTCCATAGGACCCAATTTCCTTCTTTCTTTTCTTGAGAGAGAGAGCCTGACACAGGGCTGAGATCACCACCTGAGCCAAAATCAGAGTCTGATGCTTAACTGACTGAGCCACCCAGGCGCTCCAGGGCCCACTTTCTAACAAAGAAGTCCAGGTCACCCGGATGCAGGTGGGCTGCAGGTCACTCTTGAGAAATGTTGCCTGCCGCCCGCCGTAGGCCTGTGACTCAGAACACAGCCCGGATCACAGCCCATATCACAGCCGGATCACAGCCAGCGTTGCCCCAAGTTTACCAGGAACACAGGCTCCCAGGGCCATCGGGACAGGCCTAGACAGAGTGTGCAGCTGACCCACAGGATGTGTGCGCCCTCTGCAGTGAACACGCAGCCCTGGGGGGCAGGTCCCTAGCGTCCATGCATCCACCTCCCTCAGTGTTTGTCCCACCCTCCAGGAGACTGGCTGCGGGGGACCAGAGTTCTGCCTAAATGCCTGGAGGACAAATTTTATGAATATTATTCACACTTTAGGGAAGTAATAATTGACTGTTTACAAGATACACTGTACTATACTATAAAATGTTATAAAAATAATTACGTGGAATAAATCATATAAATACTTAAAGGCTTTATTGTATGCTTATGTCTAATTGAAATCCATGTAAACAGTTACACTGAACACATTCTTTATGCATCATACTTGAAAATATAAGACACCAACTTAAAGTACTTCTTAGATTAAGCCAATTTTTCTTTTTTCTTTTTTTAGCTTTCTTTGACACCATAATAAAATGGAAAAGAAACAGTACATAAAAACAAAACCATTAGGAATTTTTAAAAACTTAATGTACCTAGCATAGTTAATATTCTCAAGACTACTCTGCCAGGAAGAATCAAATGCATCGCACTCAAAGACGTGCACTCGGGCCATTTGAGAACTTTCGGACCAAACAGATGCACATCAGGGACAGAGGGGCAGCCAGGGCACAACTCTGCAAGCCCTCCAGGCCCCGCTGGCCCTCAAGGCCAAGGACAAGGACAGGGCAGCTGGAGGACATGGGTGCCACTGTCAGTCATAGCCTGCCTGAAGGTCACGGCGACTCACACTAGACCAGGAGGGTCTTCAGGCGGCAGGACGATGAAGTTAGGAAGGGGGGTGGTCCTCCCCTCGGATGCTTCGATACTTAGCCATGTCTTCAGGAAATACTTTAGAAAGTTCTTGAATCAACAGACTTTTAAATTTCTGAGAAGAAAAACATACAACATCTTTGTTTGTGACCCATCACTCAAGTGAAAGACACTCCCCACCCCCCAAAGCCTCCAACTCAGCAGAGGGCAGAGCGTGCTTTCCCTCCGGGCAAGCAGCCGTTCCCACACGGCCGGCTCATCTCCACGGAGGCACTCGGGACCCTGGCTGCCAACAGATGCCCCCGAGCTTGGAAATGCATCAGAGCTACGTGATGAACTATGTGAAAGAGAAACGCTCAGTCCAACATAAAATAAATCCTCCAAATAGAGAAAGCCCCTCTCGTAAGGCGCCAGCCACGCACACAGCTGAAAATGACTTTTGTAGACAATACACATAACAGGAATCAAGTAATATTTAATTAAGCAATTATTAACTCAAAAGATATCAAACTCACTGTGTTCAAACAGCTGATCAAAGCTTTCAGAGCACCTGGAAACCTGTCTACTCCCCATGCTGCGGCTTCTTGATCCTATTTAACAGCATAACATGTGTTTGAATCCGATCTTAAGAGCAGCTAAGTATTGTCTCAAAAGCTCTTCGTCTAAGTCACACTGAAACGCAGCACTACAGATACGAACAAAAACACAGCACGTAAGAAGACATCCTCCAGGGACACCGCACCTCCGCATACAACCACCGTGTAAGCTGCGACTTTCAGAAGTTTGAATACATGGTCCACAGAGCCAACCAAGGCCACCGAACTGTGCCACAAGACCTGCACAGATCCCAGGTGACGCAGACTGCCAGCGAGCGCAACAGAAGCCCACTGGAGGCGACCGTCCCGTGCGTCACCACCAGCAGGCGCCCCCACACCACAGCAGGCAGCACGGGGAGCCCAGGCACAGGGAGCCCAAGCAGAGGGCCCACGGCCCGCGACAGGGGGATGTCTGCTCACTCGCATGACAGCACAGTCAGCCGGCTAGCGATCAAGGCGGCATCCCGTCCCCAGGGTGATGCTGAGCTCAACAGCATCTAGGTCCCAAAGTGACCAAACAGAAAGGAAGCTGCGGGTGCCCCACTGACAACCACCGAATCACCACGGGAGGGCCTGCTACTGAGCATCGGTATGGATCACCCGGGGGGACGGAAGCCCTGCGACCCCAGGGCAGCCTGTGACAGACACGGCACTGTCACCCTGACAGAGCCTCTCTGCTCATTCTCCACACTGGGCCAGAGTGCCCCAAGCCCGGAGGTCAGTGCGCAGCCATCCCTGCACACCTCGGCCACCGGCGAGAAGTTCTCCGGGCACGGTGCATCTGAGGGAACACCACACTCGTGCCCAGGGGTCCTGGAGCCTATGCGGCTGTGGACAAGCCGAAACAGAGGGAAGAGGAGAGGGCATCTTCATCAGGATTTAGGAAAGGCTGGTCTGCAAGGCCTCTCTGAGAGGCGACACACGCTGAGCCCGAAGGACAGTTGGTGTGCAGAGAACACGCCAGAGTTCCACACAAAGAAATGGAAGGAGAGGGGTCCGGGGGATTCCGGGCAGCAGACAGGAGGCCCGGGAGGCAGGAGGGCGCTCAGTGCGAGGCCAACACACGCGGGGTCGCTACAGGGATGGCACCGGCCAGAGGAAAAAACCACACACACACCCCAACTGAACCACAGTGCAGTCAATTTAAGACAAAACCAAAACCAAAACCAAAAACCCTACATATTTCATGTTCACAATGCATGGAGTTTTCTAGTCCTCATCAAAGCAAAGAAACACACAGGAAGTTCTCTGTGGAGAACTGCAGGACGGGGGACAGGGTCCAAAGGGGTCTGTACTCAGGCGCGGGAGCCAAGCACTGGACAAACAGGAGGGAATGATCTAAATGTGAACAGTTAGCCAGCGCCAACAACAATCATGGGAATCAGCCTGGACTTCCTTCCGAGGATGGCTACACTCTGCTGCCCTGTGTTTGCCCCCACAAGGCTCCCGGAGAGCTGACCTCATTTACTGCCCGTTACACCCAGAAATCTCAGCTGTGTAACCATGTGAGACAGTTTACATTTTACCAAGTATGGAGAAAAACAACAAGGTCTATTAGCCAAATTTGCTCTGTGAGTGTTTATGTTCTGACCCTATTGTCTGCTTCTAAGAGACTTACCTTCATTGTGTCAATCTTGCCTTTGACTTGTTCATTCTTGGCCAGAGCCCTCTCCAGGCACTCTTTGGTGTAGAGCTGGGGGTTTCGTCCTTGATCTATGTATCTGGAAACATGAAACATCTCAATTAACATTCTCATGGCCAATACTTATTCTCAACGTTTTCTGACGGGGAAAAAAGTCAGCTCTGTATAACTGCACGTGGCCCTTTTTAGACGAAACTGTGTCCAGGAACCACGTGAATTAGGATTCTTCCATTTATGCAAGTACAGATGATTTGATTTCATATGACTTCTAATCATGTGAATAACTCACGAAATCAAGGAACGATCACTTATAACCAAGCAAGTTCGTGGCCCTACGACTTTACAGTTTTAGCATTTGTGATTTTCCAACGGTTTCAGAGCCACTACCCCTGATCTTCACAATAACCTGTAAGGTGAGGCAGTTCTTGACAGGGTTTCAGGGCCGGGGTTTCAGGCTGAGCAACAGCAGGGAGCCGGCCAAGACACAGCCTCGGCTCCAGGTGCACCCCACCGGTCCCTGGGGGTACCCTTCAGAGAGGAGCCTCAGGGCTGCGGGAGGGGGTGGGGAGCTACAGGCAGGACAGCCCCAGCCCTGCCAGCCCCAAGATCATTTACAAACTGGTCCACCACTTTTTGGGGGTGGGGGTCCTGATATACTACTTTCCTAAATACACCCAAGTAACATGTATTTAACAGAGATTCTATCCACTTATTTCTAAACTACAAAACTGTTTTTGAAATTTTTGACACTTGTCCCCAAAACGCCTTCATTAACCCATAGACTACATCAAGCATACTACCTAGATGAATATCCACATTTACCACCACTGGGCCACCTGCTTGCTTCTGTACCTTACAGACCTTCAGCTGAATTGAATTATTCATTACAAAGAAAAAGAAATCACCACCACCAAAGTCCAATTTACACTCCAGTAGGAAAAAAAAAAATAGTCACTTCAGATCAAAAACACTTAATACCATTAATGGCATAAAAACGTCTTTAATTAGGACAGGTAACAAAAAAATCAGTAAGTCACATGTTCTAGAAATTCCATTTTACTGAAAAGTTTTTGAAATGATGGAATGAAAGAAGCAAAATTATGGTTCATTCTAAATAAAATACATCCATTTCTGAAGGAAACACCTGACAGGCTCGAGTGTCCTAAACAAATAACCATCTCAACAGCAACAGTGTTCGGACAAGTCTCTTTTTCTAAGGCCCAAAGGCTGAGGGCCACTCTGACAACACATAAGCCCCAAGTTCTGAACAGAAGGCCAAGGTGTAGTTTTATCTTTGCTACAATGTGTCGGAAAGTGTGCGCTGAAAAGGCCACTGGGGACCCGGAAATCCCTCCTGCACCTCGATGGACAGTTTGCATCTGCAGCTCATCAGAGCTCAGAAGCCAGCTCAGCCCCAATCCCCAGATGAATCTCAACCACCCCTTCTGCCCACCGGCTGTGGCTACGCCTGCGGCTGTGGCTTTGGTGGCCCAGCCTTCACTGCCTGTGGCCCCTAAGCAGTCTTTCCCCAACCCCCTTGCCCTCATTTGCCCTTGAGTCACTGGGCATCTGTCAGTACATCCACCCCACAAGTTCAAGGCCAGAGCAGCACGACTGAGGGTACTGCGAGGGAGACCAAGCGGCCTCCAGCTGCACACACTTCTCGGGCAGGCGGCCACCGAGTTAGGAGCTACACCACATGCACAAGACCTTCACTCCCACCTGCACCTGGAGAGCTCGGTGGGCGCACGCGACCCCATAGCCAGCAGGTAAGGACAGAGCCAAGACCAGGAAGAGTACAGCCCTGTGTCCTGGGGGGGGGGGGGGCAGCTACTGAGCTGAGCTGTAACTAGGCCTCGTATCTCTGACCCTCTGCTACATAAGAAGGTCACCTTTCCCTTTACTGTTCCAGGAAATCTGGTGACTTATATTTGTGGTCGGGGGGGTTGGGGTGGGGTGGGGAACGACTGCTTGGCACAGAAATCCGGGCTGGCCAAGGAGGGACAAGTCCAGAATTTCAGTCTTAACTCTGACACTTAGTAGCTAAACAGCCTATTGCAGTTACTTACCAGTTCTTCACCCTTGAAATCAGTGTGATAAAACCTGAATGAAACCAACCTGAAAAGTTTATTTCCTGAAGGCGTTCTCTGGGCCACAATGGTGAAAGGCACACACCACTCTCTAGCAAAAAGCAGTGACCAGCCTTCCCAAATTTACTTGGCCTAAGAACCACCCCCTTTTGATCTGCCCAAAAGAGCAGATATTTACCATCTCCTAGAATTAGCACTCCCAGGGCAGTTTGGAAGACACCACACCAAATTACTTCTCAGGTTGTTTCTGCCTAGATTTTTTAAATTTATAATAGAGCCCATATAAGACTTCCTACCTCTCAAGAAAAAAGTGATATGGCTGCCATTTTGTCTAAGCAGGGCTTTGAGAGCCTATGATGTTTTTCATATATTTAATAACCCTTTATTCACATGTAACTCTTTTTCAACAATACGATATTGAGGGTTTTTTTTTTTTAATTTTTAATCCTATTAAAACATAAGCTCCCTGAGAGCTGGTGTTTTTGTCTATTTTCTTCACTGGCTTATCACCAGCACCTGGGCTGTGCCTGCCACAGAGCAGGCACTTAAATGCCAGTGCTGAAGAACTTCCGTCATTATAGCACAATAAAACAAGAATTATACTCAAATGAATATCAAGAATGATACTTACTCAAAAACTTCTAAAGGCACAGTAATGTCATGAAGCTGCTGCCTGCACTTATCAATATCCTGTAAGCCAGTAACGATAAAATTCCTACGGGAAAAAGCAAAAATGGGGCACGTGGTTAATGCAGATGATAGCAGGAACACCACCCGGCTAGCCATTGAGAGCTCCACACAAGCTCCTTACACAAGCAAGGCGAGTAGCTCTTTGGTTAGCTACAGAATTCCTAGGAAAGTTTTGGGGTTAGAGAACACCCTCAGATATCAGATCTTCTTTCTGAAGTAGAACTGTCAATATTGGGGGATAGAAACCAACCTTTCTGAGAATCTGATGAAAATTATCGATCTTCTCTCAAAAACAATTACCCTGATATGCACCTGGTTTTGTGTGCGGTTATCACGGAACACCTGGGGCAGTGGACTCCCACCTAACCCATCCTCCAAATCTCAGAGGAGGAAAGCCTTCCCTGCCTGGTTTAATTTCAGCTCCACTCTGGAGCCTAAGGAGATCTAGGTTTGTAACACAGGGTTGCAATTATGTTTGATGTCCGTACCTGCTGTAAAGCTAGGAGACCTTCTTCAGCGCATTCATTCTGTGTGTGTTTGCCGCTTGTCCATCCCAGCACTAGCCCTAGCACCAAGGCCAGCATCACGCTGTTGCCAAAAAAATTACTAAACGTTCTGCACCCTTTCTCAGCACCATCCCCCTTCCAGTTCCTCCACATCCAGGACTCCTCAGCAGGTAGTTCCACAACCTTCTCCTTCTGGGACCCAGTTTAGTGCACGCCCCGTGAAGTCGGCCTCCTCTGGGGACATGGACTGAACTCCCCAAAAGGACCCAAGAGAAAACTCTGGGAGTCAACGCGCGCGCGAGGGAGGGCTTTATCAGGCCCAGAAGATGAACCATCTGACCATGACAACGTCGCCAAATGGGCCCTCAAGCAAAAGTCCCAGCAAAGCAAAGCGGGAGGGAAGAGGCCCGGCCCGCCATCTGGGCGCAGCCTGGGGCGGGCCCAGGCCCAGAGGAGGGCGGCGGAGAGGCGCGGCTCTCGGCCAAGCCCCAGGCCCGCCCCCCACCCCAGCTCCACTGCCCTGGCTCCCGCCCTGGCTCCCCAACCCACCGCACCCCTCCCCCCGGCTCCGGCCCCGGCTCCCCACCCCACCCCCATCCACCCCTCCGGCTGCCCGGCCCCGGCTCCCCGGCCCCACCCCCGGCACCCTGGCCTGGCAGCCCACCACACCACTCCCTAGGCTCCCGGGCTCCCCGGCCCGGGCTCCCCCGCCCAGCGCCCGGCCCGGGCTCCCGGCAGACGCTGACGGACTCAAGCCGCCACTCACAGCTTCTGGTTGAGCCCGGCCTGGCTGCTGGGCTGGAAGTCACTGACAATGATGCCTAGCTGCCGGATGTTCTCCACAAACTTCTCCAGGTGCTCCTCCAGGTGGTCGAACTTCTCAGCCATGGCCCTGCAGCAAACACCGACCCGAGCGTGGTCCTGCTCCACCGCTTCCTGCTTCCGCCCGGGCCCGCCGCCACTTCCGTTTCCTCTGGCGGCAGGAGGCGGGGCCTGGGGCGGGCAGGCCTGGGGCCGGGCCTAGGCGCTGGGCGGGGGTGGGCCCGTGGGGGCGTGGTCCGGACCCTGGACGGGCGTGGGGGGCGGGGCTTGAACCCGGGGCGAGGCGGACGTCATCTCGGCCCCGCCCCAGCCCTGAGCCGCCCAGGTGAGTGGGGTCTTTCGGGCGTTAGTCCACAGGACTGCCCCGCATGCTTTGAGGGCCACCAAGAGCCAGCGGTGGGGATCTGCGAGACCTCGTTCGGCCTCCACTGGCCCTGGGCAAGTCCCCTAGCCACTGAGCCTTCGTTCTTGTCCATAAAATTAGAATAATGAGTGCGGACGGCTACTTGAGCTTAGACTGGTAACAACTGAAGTACAGCAGGCAGTGCTTGGAAAGAGTAGCGTATGCCCACGAGGAAAATCACTTCTTTTTTCCTGAATATACAAATTACAGGTACTCATTGTAAATAATTAAAATACAGGAAAAAATATAATGAAGAATGGGGAAGAGAAACCTGAAATCCTGCCCTCTGACATAAGCCATCTTTGAGATCGTAAAGGCCCACCATTCCTGCATTTCTTGATGCTCAGGGTCCAGCCAGGCCTCTGCCTGCTCCCCTGGAGGCTGGCCTCGCTCAGTCAGGCCCAGGCCCTCTTGGAGCCACCCAGCCTTGGTCCTGACCCGAAAGGAAGCTCAAGCGGGGCTTCAGACCTGTGACTTTCCCGTTACTGATCTATCTGCCTTCCCCAAATGAGTACATTAGCAGCCAGGACAGCTCGTGGTGAGTAAAGCCTCCTGTCAGGATCGAGGCCTTCTAGCCCTAACTGCTGCCAGTCCCAGCAGAGACCTCAGTCACCAACACGCACCGTACAATGCAGCACCTTCACAAACACCCGCAGAGATGGAAATCCTAAAGTTCGCATGAACAGCCCAACAAAGGTACTTTCCCTGCCCCCCAGTTGGAGCCGGAGAGGTCAGCAGTGGCCCCCCCTTCCTTCGTCTGGTGTGTACCTAGCACCCACCTCCTCTAACTCCTGCTTCTAACCACCTCCCACTTAGCTCTTACTTCCCTAAGTACTGCCACCTACAGAAGTCAGGCCTTCTCCTGCCAGCTCAAATAAAACAGTGCCCTAATGGGGCTTCCTGTCTCTAAAGAATAAGCCCCCTACTGCACGGAGACTGTAGTAAACAGCTGTTCCTTGATCTCACTAGAATTCCATCTTGGTCACATCACTCTTGTTCCTAAGGAACTTTCCTGCCCATTCTTCTAGGGCTAACCTATGTTTGCTCCTACAATAGCCTCTCTGGACTCCTCAGGCGACAGTGGTTTCTTCCTTTACTGAATACCATAATACACATCATCCTCACTATTCAGTTCCTAGAGTCTTAGGCAAGATGAGGGAGCTCTTTTTCTAGATGATCTCTCCCAGATGTGACCAAAAATGGGAACCCAGTGAAGGTAATTGATTTGTCAGACTTACTGAAATCAGGGACTCCAATCGATGTGGTGTACTAAACTGATATGGAAAGCCTCTGTTCTCCTCTGAACACACAAAAATGTTAGGTAAAATACCTCCCTCCCTGTTTACCAACAGCTAACTTCAGGGGAGTTGTAAAACAAGGCAGAAATATTTGCCAAAGAAGAAAAAGATGACTGGGGAGACATCAGGATAAGAAGTTAACAGTCCTCCATTTCATAAGAAGGAGATAGATATTGATGGAATGGAGGGTTTGTTCAGTCTTTATTTTAAAAAATTTAAGGTTATGTCTTTAATAGAATATATAATGTTTGACTCGGGTGGAAGGGAAAAAGGAAAACAATAAATTCAATAGAAGGCAAGAAATAGAATGTACGAAGTAAAGAACAAACATGGAAAATAAGCACAAAATAAGATGAAGGAATTAAGGACGAACACGTTGGTGATCACAATAAATATAAGCAGATTTAACTACTTACTTTAAAAAAGACTCTCAGGTTGGAAGTATTGTATGTTGCTGATGTCATGGTTGTTATTTTAGTTTATTTTAAATACTACCATACTCTATTTGGCTCTCAAACCTGCAGTGTGGGCTCTGTATGGCATTCACAGCTTACATCAGCAGAGTTGATTTACCTGGGATGGAGGAATCTGCTTTCAAGAAGCTCACTCACATGGCCACCACGTTGGTAGTGGCTGGGAGCGGGGAGCTCAGCTGGACTGTAGGCTAGAGACCACCACTCACCTCCATGTCTCCTCACTTCATGGTGGTGTGTTCCAGGAGCACAGAGGTCAGGAGAAGCGGGCAGAAGCTGTACTACCTTTTATGTCCTAGCCTCAGAAGTCCCACTATATCACTTCCGCCATAACCATGGCACATCTAGATTCCCAAGGAGGGAACGTGAAGCCAGTCATCGGTGGAAGAGGTAAGACATCATATTGTGGGAAGAGCAGGTGCCACAGGAGATCTTGCTGAAGCCATTCTTGGAAAATACAACCCGTCACACATCACACTGAAAGCAATAATGACCTACTGGGCCTTTTCTGGGACTGCATGAAAGATTCACTATCATAAAATCTATTATGTAACTAAGTCCATTAAAGATTGAAGTAGAAAAACATCTCAGGTAGATTTAAAAAAAAAATAGATCTTTGATAAAATTCAACCAGATTCATGATAAAGGGAAAAAAAAAAAAAACCTCTGGGAAAAATGAGAATGAAAGAAACTTTCTAAAGCTATTAAAGGACAGCCAGCCACTAAACACTTCCAGAAGGCACTGACATAAAGAGGAAACGTCAGAAACATTTTCGTCAGAGTCACGGACGAGCCAGAACATCCACGGTCACCCCAATTACTAAGCACCCCCCCGGAGTTCAGCCTCCCCATCATCAGCCTTTGTGTTTTTTTTTTTGTTTTGGGGGTTTTTTTAACGTGGAAACCTTCACGAATTTGCTCATCCTTGCAAAGGGGCCATGCTGATCATCTCCGTCTGGCTCCTCTGACATAGAACTTCTATGTGCCCCCTGACCTGTCCTTAAAATTCCTGGGTGTTTTATGCCTTAGCATCCCAGACGTATTTAGGCATTCTAAACATACACATCCCCCAGGGTCCCAAACATAGGCGAACTAGCTCGAGAATGATTTTTGATCATTCGAAGGCCAGGGGAAAAGAAGACAAAGAAGCAACATAAGGAAACCAAATGCTTACTTTCCTGTTATGGCTGTGATCCCCCCAGGAAGCTGTCCTTTCCTGTTGGGTAGACCCTAGCAGCAACTCGCTTCCCAAATAATTAAGAGAAATGGGTGCTTCTGAGGTTTTCGCTTCTGGCCCCATGCACCATGCCCCTGTCCTGTGTTGGTGCTGCTGCGTTTTCCAGCCTCACTGAGTTGTCTCTGCTGCCTCCTGTATTTGCATATATAGTCCCCAGTCAGGCCCGTTTCTAAGAGCAGCTTTGTCCTGAGAGAGGTTACCTCTTCTGCTCTTCTGCTTTCGTCCTGCCGGATGATGTGCCCTGGGTTTGTGATCATGTTACCCTTTGTATTAGTTCCCTGGTGCTGCTGGAACAAAATATCACTGACTGGGAACTTAAACAATAAAAATGTATTGTCCCATAGTTCTGGAGACTAGGAGGCCAAGATCAAGGTGTTGGTTCCTGAGGCTGTGAGGGGAACCTACTCCATGTCTGTCTCCTGGCTTCTGGTGGTTCTGGCCATCTTTGGTGTTCCTTGGCTTACAAAAGGATCACCCCCATCTCTGCCTTCGTGTTCACATGATGTTTTCCCTGTGTGTCTGTGTTCAAATTTCCCCCTTTTGTAAGGACACTAGTCATACCAGGTTAGGGCTCACTCTAACCAACTTATTCGAACTTGATTACACCTGAAAGGTCTCTATTTCCAAATAAAGTCACACTCTGAGTTACTGGGTATTAGATATCTTTTGGGATAGGGAGAGATACAATTCAACCCCTAACACTTTCCTCTTCTGTTCAGGAACACTAGACCTTGCTTTCTGCATTGTGACCATAGGGTGGTTAACTCAGGGCCAGATCCTAATGACTGCAACTACGCTATCAGTCCCTACATTTTTGAGATCTGTGATTAGTCTACCAGCTCCCATTTTTGTCTTCATAGACTTTCTCTTTCCCCTCTACTCTTATTTGCATCAGCTAGAGTGAGAGCAAAAATGGAAGGTTGTAAAGTCAGACTTTTAAACCATCCCAAATGGAGCAGTTGAAGTCCGCTGAGTACAGGAGAATTAAAAAGTATTTTTAGATCAATTATCTCCCTGTTGTCCAAAATTATGGCTCCACAGACTACTGTTCTCTGCTGAAACCAAAAGCATTTCCAACTACTGAAACCTGCACTGAAATTCTCCCTTTTCTCCTTAAACAGCTACACAGTGGCTGCTTTTTCTTTACTTAACATTCTAAGTACTGTTGATTTGTTGTAAGAAATGTTTTAAAATAGAAGCACACCAGGCTCCCAATGTAAATGGAATTAAGCTGGAAAATCCCAGCAAGTCAGAGGGTGTACCTGTTAGGACACAGCCTACAGAAACCCACAGAGCTCTGCTGACTGTAGACTTTGCTGCTTATTTTCCCTCTGAAGTGGACTTAACCTGCCCCTGGGAAATTTCCTAACTTCTAATACTTCGTGACCTTGGAATCTGGAAGCTCTTTCTTTCTTTCTTTCTTTCTTTCTTTCTTTCTTTCTTTCTTTCTTTCTTTCTTTTTCTTTCTTTCTTTCTTTCTTTCTTTCTTCTTCTTCTTCTTCTTCTTCTTCTTCTTCTTCTTCTTCTTCTTCTTCTTTCTTCTTCTTCTT